GGTCTGGGAACGTCTCGGAGTCCCCCAGGACGAGCTGGAAAGTGTCACTGGGGAGAGGGAAGTCTGGGTCTCACTGCTGCTGCCCCCGCGACCTGATCCCGGTAAAGCTGCGGAAAACGGACGAATGGACAATTTATATTGTTAGTCTAAATTATTACATTTAAAATTATAACTCTAATTCAAGCAGAATAGCCTATTGTCAACATAATTATGGAGTGTAATTTATTTTCAACTCAAAACATCTTCAAACTAATGAAATATAAAGTTATTAGGGAGGAAAACCCGTCTGGATAACAGCAGACTGGCTGTTCGTAAAATCTACGACAGGTCCGGACCACACGTGAATTTTGTTCGTATCTGAAAAAAATCGTAGAATACGAAAACATTGGTGAATGCCACAAATTCTCCTAAATCACTCGTACGCAAAACTTAAGAACAAATCTGTGCGTACGAACGGCATTTGCATGAGGCCCATTATTTCTTTACAATTATAAATCTGGAAGTCTACGTTTCAGTTTGTGGATGATGTTTGTTTCTTCTCTGTTTTCTAAATGTGGCTTTTTCTGCTGCAGGCATCAGAGGAGCAACTCTCTATTTTTATCACAGACCTGGAGATGTTGRTGTTTTACCTTGTTACAGTTCAACATCTGACCCATGCTCCTCTTTCAACTGGTTTTACAAACATGAAAACTCTGAGCTTCAGACTGTGGTTAAAGGAGGAGAAGTTGTTCAGAGTTCACCTGGAGCTGCCAGACTGAGTCTGAACAGGAACTGTTCTCTGATCATCAACATCACAGCTGAACATGCTGGAGGATATTTATGTCGGATACTGGTGGAGAAAAATTACAATTACATCCTTGTGTTTCTGAGTACTGTGAACTGTAAGTATTGTGACCAGTAAATATTGTGACTTTTCAAACTGTGACCTATAAGTATTGTGACATGTCATTGCAACCTGTAAGTACTGTGATCTGTAAGTATTATCACCTGTAGGTATTGTGACCTAAAAATATTGTGACTTGTCAAATATTGTGACCTTTCATTTATGTGACCTGTATGAATTATGACTTATCTGTGTTACGACCTATAATTTATAACACCTGTCAGTATTGTGACTTGTTAGTATTGTGATTTAAAATTATTGTGACTTAAAATTATTTTGACCTGTCAGTTTTGTGACCAGTAGGTTTTATGACCTGTAGGTTTTATGACCTGTAGGTTTTGTGACCTCTACATATGGTGAGGTGTCAGTATTGTGACCAGTAGGTAATGTGACCTGTTAGTATTGTGACCTATCAATATTGTGAATATTCAATATTGTGACCAGTAAGTATTATAATCTATAGCTTTATGTCCTATAAGTAATGTGACCTGTCATTACTGTGACCTGTTAGTATTATGACCTGTCAGTCATGGAAACTGATTAAATTACGGTCTGTTTTGATGTCACATCACTCTTTATGTGTGTTCCTGTTGATAAGGTGGTGGGTGTGGTCTGTGTGAGATTAAAATTAGACACCACTCTTAGCAGCAGAACCACTCTTTCCACAGAACAACTGTGTCAACTTCTGAAACTGTGCCTGGAATCAACCTACTTCACATATGGGGGACAATACTATAGGCAGAAACATGACTGTGCTATGGGCTCCCCAGTTTCCACTATTGTTGCAAACCTGTACATGGA